CATTCCTGCGTCTCTCTTTTCAGGTGGTCTGCGGAGTTTGGCGCACCCAGGGTTGGGGCTCCAGAAATACATGTTATGTTAGCGAACTACATATATTTTGAATCTCCTGAGGTGGTAGGTAGTATCTTGATACATATGTGACCTTTGTTTTTATCTCACAAGTGCATACATCTAATTTTGGGATTTAAAACATGAAAATCCACTTTTCACATATAACATTTTATTAATTGCTAGTAAACTCAGATTGAAGATAGGACCAGCTGGATTTTGGTCCAGCAGATCATTATTTAAAATGTTTTGGACATGTTGGTATCATTTTGATTTCCATAGGTCCTTCATGCTGTTCAAACTATTGTTGTCTTCATTTGTGCTAAATTAATTTACTTTAATTTGAAACCTGTAACCGAGAGGTCCATATTTTCCTTGAGTACTTTGGCTCTTATCATGAGTGCAGAGTGAACGCCATTATCTTGTTTGACTGCTTTGCAGGACATGGTTAGAGTGTCACATCATTTCGTCAGAGGAAACAACCCAAAAGAGTTTGCTTCAACCTTAGTAAATTTTATGGGAAAGGTTAGCCTTCTTCCCCCTTAATTCTCAATATTCATTTTTAAGAATTCAGTAAATAGATATGTTATGAGGCCTACAGAATTATAAGTAGTATTGCATGATGTATATATATGGTTACTAGGTTCTGTGTTTATGTTAAATGAATATTATTTGTTCAAAAGATTACTTTAGTAGTAGCAGTAGGTTTGTATTTGGTTTTTTTTTTTTTTTTTTTCCTTCCTGTTATTAGGTTCTGTTTTCTATGAATATTACTTGTTCAAAGGTTCACTGAGTAGCAGGTTTCAATTTGGTAGGTTTTTGTTGCTATTATGTTGGATAATGAATATGACATTTACATTTTTTATATTATTTCATTTTGTAATGTGAATATTTTTGGGAAGTCTTCTTTCATCCAAATTTGATGTTTCTTGAAAATCACAAGTGTAATCAATGTTCAAACACAATATATTTTCTTCACTATAGCACAACTTAGTTATTGGATTGTTGCACTTAATCCTGTCTGCATCAGTCTTGCCATATTCATACCTTTTTTATGGAAAGTTTTTATGGAGGTCATACTTCTTGATCATGCAGTGTTATCCAGGGGAAGATGATTTGGCCATTGCACGAGCGATTTTAATGTAAGGACACTACTCCACTATCATTGAACACCCTTTACTGTTTGATGGTAATACGAGTCCATTTGAACCTAACTTCCTAACGTGCACTTCAAAATTGGGAGATCCTTGATAAATATAAGCATTCAACTGTCATTTCTTTATGTCTATACACTTTTATTTTCCCGAGATTGAACAATATCCATTAGTTTTCCTGCTAATGATGTTTCCCTATATTCCTAATATTGTAACCTGTTTTTTGTAGGTATTTGTCTTTAGGTAACCTGAGAGATGCCAATAATCTCATGGATGAGATAAAGAAACAAGTGGAATCTAAGCAGCTTGACTTTCCCCAATCGGATTTGATCCAGTTCATCAATTTTCTTTTGCAAACGTATGTTGTGTTCAATTTCCCTTTTATCAGTAACAATCTTATATCTCATATTTAGAGAAAATGATGCTAGCTAGAGGAAGTTGCCCTTCATGCCACTCCTAATGGATATTGGATTATGGTAAAAGAAAATGAAACATATTGTTCCTTGGCTTATATTTCCCTCTATGAAAACCTAAAATCTAAGATCCTTAAGTGGGATTTTCAGCGACTTGGGAATTTTAAATGCTAAAGGTTAAATTAATTATTGCTACTGGAAACATGCAATTTATGCATGCCTACGCTCTTCATGCATCAACAAAACACTGGCCGAAATCCTGAGAGGCCATTAAGATTTAATGAGATTATGAAATCAGAAAGAACTCAGATTATTGATCTGTATGGTATGAGGTATACAGATTGCTGAATTTTTCTCATTGCAGGTTGTTAAGAGATGCTCTTCCTCTTTTCAATATGTTGAGAGCTAAGTACAAATCAAGCTTAGACAGAGAACCTACATTTCATGAGGTGTGCAATTTTTCTGCATGGCAGACCATTTGACAACTTTTTCTCAATTTATGTTAACTGTGTATCTGCCCTATGTCATGTCTGCTAGTGTACGTTCCCACCAGTCTTCAGCTATTTTCTGTCCTCCGTCTTCACCCTAACATAAAAATTATGGTTTAGTTGCTAGATGAAATTGCAGAGAAGTTTTATGGAGTGCGGCGCCGAAATCCTCTGCAAGGGATGGGGATGTTTGGGGAGATCTTCAAGGTAGAGTTGAACTCTTGTGAATGGTTAACTCTAATTTGTTATGACAGCTTAGAAAATTATGAAGGATGGAGACTAAAATCAGAAAAATAATAAAGAAATTACTCTGCAAAAGACTTTGATGCATGAAGAAAATAAATAATCCTTGCAATAATTGGGCAGCAGTCTTATTTGGAGTGTCAATCCTTGTTATGCAGATGATGGGAGGTGAATAGTGATGTGTTGGAACTTCAAGTTTTCACTTCCTTGCCGGATCCTTCAGTACTACCGTTATTGTGCCCGTTGAAAGGGAGTATTTATATATTTTGATTCTGTAGAAGCATTTTTTAATGAAGTGTTTGTTAATGATGTAAGATTTATTTTATGTTCACCTTAGGGAGATACAGATTCAGATTCTTGTGTTTGTACCATTAATACAAATGAATTATTATTATTGTTCATCTAAACTTTCCAAATTGTATGACTTCTTGTCTTTTGAGGTCATGCTCCTCGTGAATTCTGAAATTTGTGCTAGAATGGGTCAAGAATTTGGAGAGAGTATTATTTATTTAAAGATACACAATATCTGTCTGAAACGAGTTCAGAATGTTGAAATCAGAAACAGAGAATTACAGTTGCTCATCGATCAAGAACTCCACTCCATTTGCCTTCACAAAGTCATGTGATGTGTGATCAACCACCTACAACAAAAAATGGCCGTGCCATGTCCAATTCCATTAAAGCCCTAAAAACGTGTTATAAATTCAGTAACACTTAATTGAAACAGAAAAAGGCTTAAGCTCACATTGGTGTTGCTGAGCTCCAGATTGAAAAAATCCATAGTGTCTGCCCTGAACAAAGGCCCCGCATGCCATGTCCCATGGTTAAGCTTCAGAAACTTAGGACCTGTAATCTTGAAAACACGAACATTCGCCACCGCGGGAGGCACATAAAAATGGCCGGTGGCACAGCGAGACTGCACCACATTCTTGCCTTCATGATCCTTGCTCTCAAGTGTCTGTTTGTCTACAATGGTAGGCTTAGCCACTCCCAGGTACCAAACATGGCCACCAACCGACCCGAGGCATTGAGTCACGCTCGCATGGTGTGTGATTTTGGAAAACTTGAGCGGCCTATCTTGAAGATGCATAATGTAGAACCTGTTCACATGATTCAAAGTTGAAACAAGTCACTAACCAAACGCTAATTTGTTTTGCTAGACAGTTCGACACACCATGTTATATTGTCAGGGATCTATATCGTAAATTAGATGCCAGATATCTTGCAACTGCTCAAATAACCAAACCTACCAGCAGAAAGATTCTCCAACCACAACCCAAGTCTATATCTATCTGTTTGATCAAAACCCAATTGACATGAACACAATATATGACCTTCAAGCATGAAAACTCAGGTGTCTAGTTGTTATGTTTATATATATATATATAATCGATAGTCTAAATTAATCTAATTTACGAGGAGCGAGATTCGAAGTTGCTTTGTTTATTTTTCACCTTGGAACTCCGCGGCTGAGGTCCAACTGAGCATCACGAGGCCCAAACTCCTCACCATCTGGAGAGGCCTCCACCACCTGACCGTACTCTTCAAAGCTCTCCGCTGTTGCTTCGATGGGCTTCAGCTTCACCCACTTTGACTCCTCAGAGATTGCCATTCTCTCCTCTCTCTTTTTTCTTTTAAATCCACAAATAGAATAGAAATTCTATTATTATATGAAGGATAAGAAAAAGGAAATAACGGTTTGACCAAAATACTGTCGTTTCAAATGAACTTTAGCTAAACGCAGCGTTTTGAGCTCCCCTGAATCTGTCCAAAACCGCAAGCCTCTCTTCTTCTTCTTCAACCTCGTGAGACTCTGCAACTCACTCTCGGACGCGCCTCCATGACCAACCCAACTCAAGCTTTAACCCAACCCCAACTGCTCCAAACCATAACCAGCCTCCTAACCGCCGCCAAAACCCCACAACTCCAACCCCTTAAACCCTACATTCCCTACCTCACGCAGCCCCTCCTCCTCTCCATCCTCCGCTCCAAAGCCCTAGCAAACAAGCCCAGCGCCCTCCTATCCTTCTTTCAATGGGCCCAGGCCCACAATCCGTCCTTAACCCAAACCCCTCACCCCCTCCTCGCCCTCCTCCACCCTCTCCTCTGCCACCACAAGTACCCCGACGCCAAAACCCTGCTCGTCCAATTCATAGCCGCCGATCGCCAAAACGAGCTCCTCTGGGTTCTTCTGCACCCGGACGACACCGTAGCAAAGCCCTCAAAAGCCCTTCTGGATACTTCCATAGGGGCTTATCTCCATTGTGGAAAGCCCCTCCTTGCAGCCCAGCTGTTCAAGAGAATGAAGCGGCGTCGTTTACAACCCAACTTGCTCACCTGCAATACTCTCCTTTATGCTCTGGTAAGGCACGCTTCGTGTGATTCGATTTCATTGGCTAAAAGTGTGTTTAAGGATGCCATCAAGTTAGGGGTTAGTGTGAATACAAATACGTTTAATATTTTGATATATGGCTACTGTTTGGAGCATAAGTTTAGGGATGCTGTAGAGTTGTTGAGTAGAATGAGCGAGTTTAGATGTTGGCCTGATAATGTGAGCTATAATACCATATTGGACTGGTTGTGTAAAAAGGGGCAGTTGGTTGAGGCTAGGGACTTGTTGTTGGACATGAAGAATCGAGGGTTGTTTCCGAATAGGAACACGTATAACATTTTGGTTTGTGGGTATTGTAAAATGGGTTGGTTGAAGGAGGCAATGCAGATAATTGAACTGATGACACAGAACAATTCGTTGCCGAATATATGGACCTACAATATGTTGATTAAAGCGTTGTGTAAGGAGGGTAGGATTGAGGAGGCTGTTAGGCTTCGGGTTGAGATGGGACATTTGAAGTTGATGCCGGATGTTGTCACGTATAACACATTGATTGATGGATATTTTGAGTGGAGGAGCAGTTCAGAGGCACTTACGTTGATTGAGGAGATGCGTGAAAAGGGAGTGAAACCAAATGTGGTTACTCACAATATAATGATGAAGTGGTTTTGTAAGGAAGGGAAGATGGATGAAGCAAGTGATACTAGAAGGAAGATGGAGGAAGATGGGTTTGCTCCTAATTGTGTCACCTATAATACTTTGATTAATGGGTATTGCAAGGCAGGGAAAATGGAAGAAGCATTTAAAATGATGGATGAGATGGGTAGGAAAGGTTTGAAGACGAACATTGTTACCCTCAATACTGTTCTTCACACTCTTTGTAATGAGAAGAAGCTTGACGAGGCATTTGAGTTGCTTCATACCACAATGAAGCGGGGTTATATTCTTGATGAGATTAGCTATGGAACTCTGATCATGGGATGCTTTAAGAACGAAAAGGCGGACAAGGCTTTGAAGCTTTGGGATGAGATGAAGGAGAAGCAGGTCATTCCCAGCATTGTCACCTATAACTCTATAATTGGAGGGCTATGCCAGTCTGGGAAAACTGATCAAGCGTTAGAGAAGTTGAATGAGCTTATAGAGAGGGGTCTAGTCCCTGATGAGTTTACATACAACTCAATACTTCATGGCTACTGCTGCGAGGGGAATGTTGAGAAAGCATTTCAGTTCCACAACAAAACTGTTGAGAAATCATTCAAGCCAGATGTATTTACATGTAATATTCTTCTTTCTGGGCTATGTAGAGAGGGTATGTTAGAAAAAGCCCTTAAGCTTTTTAACACATGGATTTCAAAAGGGAAAGACATTGATGCAGTTACTTACAACACATTGATATCAAGCCTTTGCAAAGAAGGGAGGTTTGAAGAGGCTTTTGATCTTCTTTCAGATATGGAAGCAAAGAAATTAGCACCTGACCACTATACATATGGTGCCATTCTGGGTGCACTTACTGATATTGGTAGGATTGAGGAAGCGGAAGAGTTTCTTTTGAAATTGATTGAATCCAGAAAATTACTTGATCAGTCCTCAAATTTGGTGCAAAAGGGAGTGACCAGTGAATCTAAAGTTGAATTTGATTCAAGCACAGTAGCTTATTCAGAACAGATCAATGAGTTGTGCTTTCAAGGTAAGTACAAGGATGCAATGCACATTTTGGAAGAATCCATGCAGAAAGGCATCACTTTAAATAAAGATGTTTATATTAATTTGATGAACGGATTGATTAAAGGCAAAGGAGTACATAAAGGCTGTTAAGCTGTAGTGACACCTTGGGCTATTTTCGATAATGGCAGAGTGCCCCAGCCTTCCCTGCATGTTCTAACTGAATTTGACAACAGCTGGACCTGGTACAACCTTTTGTTTTGTTATATTTTCATCTTACACTCTAGTCTCTTCATGAAATGCTAATTTGTGTTTAATGCACGAACAATCTTCCTTGGTTCAGAAGAGTTGGCATGAAGAAAATAAAAATATTAACAGTATCTAGTTTGCAGATGGTTACAAAAATGAAAGTTCTTAGTATTATTTACAAAAAGTTCTTTAATTCTCATTCTGTCTATTGTGAAAAACAAAACAAAAATCTTTTCTGTCACATAACTGAGTGCTGTTCAATGTTTTGCAGTAATGATCAGTAAGGGACTTATTTCGCTAATATATTGCTGCTGATCAAGCAAGAATGGAAACTGATGAATGCCATTAAATTTCCTTGCTTAAACTTGAATGTCGCAGGTACCTTTACTAAAAGAATATAGTTCAAGTGAAATGAACGAGATGGTTCTTTATCCATGCCATTAAATTTGAGGTTGGGTGGGATTCAAGCAAGAATGGAAACTGATGACAAATGGCAGGCAAAAGTGGGGCTTGTTTTCCAGAAAGGCTTCTCGTATGGCTTTGATGTGAGGAGAAATTGATTCATGAGGTTAGCAATAATTCCATATTTGAAAATGCTAGAGGGATGACTCAGACGAGTAAAGGTGGTGAGGTATCAGCCTACAGTTCAGTACAAAAGAAAGTTTTCCCTGAGAACAGATCGTAATGAATAAGAAGTGCTGTATGTCATATTGTGTACTTCTTAGCCTTTCGGATGAGATTTAGTTTTATGCATTGTTCTTGACAATTGGGATAGTCTTAAGGTTGGTGGAACAAGGGACATGTAGTCCTGGGTTTAAAGCATGTGTCAAGTAGACTCCCAGCGTCAAAGAGTGATTCTCCGAACTGCCGGACTTCCAACCCCATTCCCCGTCAGAAAGGACAAACCATTGAGGATGGCTTAGACAGTACTGGTTTCATTGGTTTAGGTGCTTTGCATTAGTGCTGAGCTCCAGAAAAGTGTCACCTCCTC